CAGAGTGGATCTCTGTGAGTTTGAGGCCAGTCTGGTCTACAGGAAGTTGTAAGTTGTCAACATAGAGCTCCAGGCCCAGAGAAACTTCCTTGGAGAGACCCAGAAGGGGGAGGTACTCGGAGCAGGAAGCCTAGGTGTTTCTGCCACCCTCTGAGTCTGGAAAGAACCAGATTCGAAAGAGTGCCTGTGATTTTTGTGGCCACATTTCGGGCTTCCTGATCTTAGGCGTGCAGTTCCCCCTTCTAAAACCCAGACTCACCCCGTGGGAGTGACTGCGTCTCCCAGCCCTGGTTCCAGAAGTTCCCAAAAACTCGGCTTCTGCATTCCAAGAATGGCTGCCTACCCCTCTCTACCCCAGAGCTGGGAACAAGAGACTGGAGGTCGCATAGATCTGCTTGCTGTGGCTCAGGTATAGCACCTTGGGTGTGGCCTTACCCTCTCTCTGAACACTTTTTATGTATAAGTGAAGAGGCACCTGCTTGGATACAAAGGAAAACGGGGTGGACTGGGGCTCCTGTTGACCTAACATTTCCATCTAGGAATAGCTATGGTGCAAGGAAGTCAATATCCCCACCCTCTGCTGTTGAGGGATTGTTTGAAGGCTTCTGTTGGGCCAGTGGAGACCCCACAGATTTTAACCCGCCAGCTCCTACACCGCTTTCCTGCCTGTTACACTGTGGTTATTTCCTGTGTAATGTCCAGTGTTCCAAATGGGTGGACAGATGGTGGTTTCATCATCCAGGGTTTTCTTCCCAAATCCTTCCCTGTGCTGCTCCAGCTCACCACAGGGGCTCCCACGCTCTGCTCAGCAGCAGCCCATGTGGTTTTGCAATTACCAGTCTCTCTGGGTGCACAGGAAGCCAGGCCTGAGCCCCCTTACCTTGCACCCCTGCAGCTCAAGGGCGCCACCCTGTCTGAGCTGCTTCAGGGAAGGGTGGGTCTCCCTGTTTTATTCTGAGTGTTGGGTGGGGTACCATGCTCCCCACATTCCCCACCTTCCTGAATAGCCCTACCCAAGATGCTCAGGGAAGGAAGCTGAGCACAGGTCTCTTTGGAGTCCAAACAGGCTTCCTAGGCACAAGCCAGGCTCAACTCCAGTAAGGAGCAGAGCTGGAATTTAGACAGGCAGCTGTTTGATCAAGACTGCTGTTCCAACGCCGATCGCTGTTGCTGACAACTGATTCATTTACTGCAGTGCTGGGGGATTAAACCCAGTGTCTCATAAGTGCTATGCATACAAACTTTAAAGCATGTATTGGGCAGATTATTTCTTTTTTTTTTAATTTATTTTTTTAAAGATTTTATTTATTTATTATGTATACAACATTCCTCCCATGTATGCCCGCATGCCAGAAGAGGGCACCAGATCTCATTATAGATGGTTGTGAGCCACCATGTGGTTGCTGAGAATTGAACTCAGGACCTTTGGAAGAGCAGCCGGTGCTCTTAACCACTGAGCCATCTCTCCAGCCCTGGGCAGATTATTTCTATGTATAGGTGCATGTGTCCTTCCTCAATACCATTCACCTTACATTTTCAGACAGGGTCTCTCATGGGCTTGGCTGGCTGGACATCCCAGCGGTCTGCCTGTCTCCCTAGTACAGGGGTCCCGAGCATCACCACACACTGGTTTTATGACGGTTCTGGGGATTGAACTCAGATCTTTGTACTTGCCATTAACCCAGCCCAAGCATTGGAGCTTTGATTTTGACAGCAGAGGACAGGAATGGTGGTTGGTTGTCCTTTTACTATTTTAGGTGTATGGGTGTTTTGCCTCCATGTCTATATACCAACTCGAGCAGTGTCCTTGAAAGCCTGAAGACAGTGTTAGATCTGCCGGAACTGGAGTTAGAGTTGTGAGCCCCCACGTGTCAGATCGGGAGCCTCTGGAAGAGCAGCCAGTGCTCTAAATTGCTGAATCCTCCCTCCAATCCCCTTGCCCATTGTCCCCTTACCAGCCCACTGGCCTTGGGCAAGCCCTTTGACCAGGTAGGAAGGATCCTGCAAGAGACCTCAGCAGCACATTGAAGCCCTGGCATGTGCCGCACAGAAGTGGGCCCTGTACCTCTATGGTCTCGGGTTTGTGTGGTGCTGTGGGTTAGGATGACAGACTGTCCTGAAGGCCTCTTATCCTAGGGTTTGGAAGCAGGGTGGAGAGAATTTGCTTCCTGATAGAGCTTAGCTTCTAGGAAACTAGAAAGGAGGCAAGGGCGCAAGGGCCAGCCCTCCGGGTGGACATCTCTCCTTTATTCCCACATGGCCCAGAGTTGTGGAAGCCAAACTTGCTCTCAAGTTCATGGTCAGCAGGTGATGCCTGCCCTTGTTCTGCCTCAACCTTCTATTTCAGTGGGCACCATTTGGGTATCCTCTGGGGAAATCCCTCAGAGGGATGGGCCTGAGTGGACAGAATACCACTAGTCCCCCAGGCAAGGGGAAGGCCTTGTGCCCGTTTTCTTTGGTCCTGACAACTTGAGCCAGCGCAGGGCATCTATCTCTGCAAAGCTGACAGATGGTCGCAAGCTTCTAAAACCTTAGGTGGAGTGACAGTTTTGACTCTTTTGGAGCCTGAGAATAGTGGCAATTAAGGGTGATGTGGGCTCGGATGCACAAACTGTCTATGCTTTCAAAAGTGTTTCCAAGCCGGGTGGTGGTGGCGCACGCCTTTAATCCCAGCACTCGGGAGGCAGAGGCAGCCGGATCTCTGTGAGTTCGAGACCAGCCTGGTCTACAAGAGCTAGTTCCAGGACAGGCTCCAAAAACCACAGAGAAACCCTGTCTCGAAAAACAAAAAAACAAAAAAAACAAAAAAAAACAAAAAAAAAACAAAAAAAAAAAAAAGTGTTTCCATGGGCTGGAGAGATGGCTCAGTGGTTAAGAGCATTGCCTGCTCTTCCAAAGGTCCTGAGTTCAATTCCTGGCAATCACATGGTGGCTCACAACCATCTGTAATGACGTCTGATGTCCTCTTCTGGCCTGCAGACATACACACAGACAGAATATTGTAAACATAATAATAAATAAATATTAAAAAAAAAAAGTGTTTCCATGAGAACCTCCTCAAGAACAGGACCAGAGTTGGTAGGCTTGAGTTTGAATCCTTTTGGCTACCATTGCTACCTGTGTTGCCCTGTCCTGGGCCCTTACTGTGTGAAGTAGCAAACCTAGCACAAGGTAGGACCACACTGAGTGTCAAGTCTATGGCGCCTCCCTTGGCCACAGCAGAACCCTGGAGGCAGCTCTGCATCAGAGATAAACACCTGTTTGTCCCAACTGCTGACCCAACTGCCTGGAGCAGTCTCTCTCCAGCCCTGCTTCCCATCTGCACCCTTCCGGACTTGTCACTCCCAATTTGTCATCCTTTCCTCTCTTGTCATAAACAGGTCCCCTATCTGTGACATCAGCTGGCTCGAACCAACCCCACCCAGAACTGTGAATTTGGTCTGCTGTCTTCAGAGCAGGCTGCCACTGTCTCCAAACCTGCCTTAGGGCAAGTCTTTGTTTGAAAGACCCCTCCCAAATCCCAAGCACACTACAGATGATCCCACTAACCAGTCTGTGGCTACAAGGTGGTGGTCAGTGGGTCTCCTGTAATTCTGCTGTCAATCTCTGTTGGTGTTTGAACTCTTGGCCCTCCCTCCAAATCCCAAGTGCTGGGACTATGGGTGGGCACCATCAAGTTCAGCTTCCAGAGAGTCTTGTCAGTTTCAACACTGCACAGGTGGGTGGGTGGTCATGGGCTTCTTGCAAAGACTTCCAGGGCGCCTCCATGACCAGGAAAAGACAACGGAGCATGAGAAGCTTTGGCACAATTAAACTTTTTTTAATGCAAGGAACAAAGTCTTTGCTCAGGCACCCCCCCACACACACACACACAGGTGAGGATTGAGCCGGCTGGACTTTAGTGAACCTGTGAGGTCATCTCACCTAACTCTCAGCTGAGGCAGGGAGCTAGCAGGCTGGAGCTCAGCATCAACAAGGCCCAGAGCAGTGCTGGGAGGTGGTAGGCAGCTCCCTGAAGCCCACCTGCGGTGTGGGATGAGCAGGCTGCAGCTGCCCCACCCACCTCAGTAGAAAGCCCACCCTGACAGCCAACCACTGGCCAGAGGGTGTACCCGTCCCAGAGGCTGCAGTGGGGTGGTTAAAGTGGTCATTTGCTAGCTCTGGCTTCTTACTGCTCGGTCTGGGGATCTCAGGACACCCAGACCTCCTTGGCTCAGCAGGGGAGGAGGGAGGAAGGAAAGAGAGGGAAGGGGTTGGGTTTTCCCCTGTCCTGCTGCTCGGCCACTACACCCAGGCCAGAGCCACAGGCTTCCTCTTACCAGCACCAGACCACCCCAGGTCACAGGCCCCACTGCCCACCCCAGGCAGCCAGGGGCTCCAGGAAGCTGCCGTGAAGACTGATGAAGTGAGGACATTTCAGAGCACTCAAGAGCAGGAGCTAGGATGGCCTTCCCTCAGCTAGACTACAGAGCCAAGGCCAAGGGGTCTGCTCTGTGCTGGAACTGATGGACGCTAGGGTACAGGAAAGGGAAGACAAAGATCACAGCTTTGAACAAGTGTTGTGGAGTTACTGGAAACCTGGTCAAGTATAAAGAGTTCGCTTACAGAACAATGCCTAGCTTATGTGTTTTCCTGGAGGACACCGTCTCTCACCCCTCCAGTCCCCACAAAAGTTAACAGTGGCTGGGTCTTAACCTGTGGCTGCTGTATTGGCTGGGGTGTCAGAGACGGGGTGTGGAAGCAACAGGAGGGTATGCACCCCGACCACAGCAGAGACCTGAAGCAGCTTCCCCCGAGTGCTAGCAGGAAGCGAGTCACTGCCCCATGAATAAACCTCAGGTTGAAAACAAACTGAGAGAGCTGGGGGGCCCCTGTCTACACATGGGTGTGCCAGGGTGGGCTGTGAGGGGTGGATCCCCAGTCACTATGGCTGCCTGGGCAAGGCAGGGCAAAAGGAAAGGCTGAGTGTGGGGCTGCCAGACAGAGGAGGAGGCAAGAAAGAAGGCTGCCTCTAACATTATATATTAAAAATATTCATGGTTCTTGTGCACATCCAAGCATCACCCATGCCTCCCCGCTGAACCCCCGACAGCTTTAAAAGAAAGATGGTGGTTTTCCTATTCAAGAGCTGAGGAAACGCTGCTCAGTCTTTATGGACCTTGAAAGATGGTGACCCTTTCCCTCCCCAAATCTCTGCCCCTCCGGGCTCAGGCCCACATGGGCAGGCAAGGCGCTGGCAGGTAGAAAGTGCCAGGGCCCTGGAGCTTGGGGGTGTGTCAGCACAGCTGTCACTCATGCCTCCGTTTGGAGGGTGGGATGAGATGTGGAGGAAGGTCAGCAGGTAGCTCATGGCCTTCTAACTTGACCTTGATAAGGTGGTTGGCCAGGGCAAACTCCTCATCATCCAGCAGGCCATCCTTGTCCACGTCAGCCAGCTTCCAGATCTTCCCCAGCACGGTGTTCGGCAGCTTGGACTTCACCATCTCCTTCTTGGCGTTGGCACCGGTGATCTTGCCATTGACAGGAGACAGCGTATAGAAGATCTCGTCGTAGGTGGGCTTGTCCTTGCCAACCACCCACTCAACATCATCGATGCCCTCGCCAGCCCCCTCTCCGTAGCCATGCCCAAAGGGCCCATTCATGGTGCCATCAAAAGCCCCTCCCTTCACAGCCTGTGAGGGCATCAGGGACTCCTCTTGGCGCACCATCACCATCAGCCGGGCTATGTCGTTGGCCAGCATATCATCCACTGTATCTAGCAGCTTGGGCTTCAAGGCCTGGAACTTGCTGAAGTCCTGAGTCTGAAGGAGTTCCTGTGAGTGGAGAAGGAGAAAGGAAAGTTTGGATGGGACAGCCTCCCAGACTCCAGACCAGTGAACTGAGTCAGGCTACCTAAGCATGGAGAGTGGGAATCCACTTACTGGCTCAGGCAACTTAAGCTAGTGCTGCAGGCCTGGGCTCCACACAGTGAGGATTCCCCAACAGGCATGCCGCACCCCCATGCTGAGTCACCACATTCCCCTCTTCAGTGTCAGTGTCTCGACCTAGGTCAACTCTGACTCGGGTGGGGAACTGGTGACTAACCCAGCCGCTTCCTTTTGTGGTTCCCTCCAGAACCACTGCCCAGCCCCACGCAGAGCACTCGGAATGGTCCAGGCTGGCCTGGTGACTGTACCTGCATCTTGCGCAGGCTCGGGAAGTCGCCAGGGGAGATCTGGTGCTCCCGCTCGATTTTCTGGTAGATTTCTCCCAGGTTATTCACCAGCTCTTTCTTCTTGCTCTCTTTCCCAAAGACATTGGGCATCTCCTTCTTGAGGGAGCTGATGATGTAGGCATGGACCTGAGGGGATAGGAAACAGGGGGCATCAGGGACTTGCTTGACACATTGCCCTCTGTGTCTTTGAGGCCTCTCTAGTGCCTGAGGTTCACTCTTTGGGTAGAGGAAAGCAGAAAGGTCAAAGTCAAGCTGAAAGTTGAAGCCACCATCATAAGAATCCAAAGGCCCAGGATTGACACACGATTTTGACAAGGACCATGACAGCTCACTGCCATGGGAATGGAAGCAAGGAAAGGGCACTCCGAACAGAGGACAGATGATGATCTTACAGAAAACTACAATTCAGTTCTGCCTGGTTTTCTCCCTGTGCTGCCCTCCCAATAATACAACATAGTGCAGAGCCACAGAGAGCTGTGTGGGAGCCACTGTCCACCACGCATCTACGCAGTGCTCAGGATTCCCGAGCTGAATCCACTTGAGCAATAAGCCACATGTCACCAGAACAGGTCTGGATGACTCAGGACTAGAAAATTCCATGAAAGCTTTCCTCAGCTCCACTGCTCCCTACGCAGCACAGGGGACAGCCTGGCCAAACCATCCAAACCATCCAAGAGGTGTAGCCTTTCCTGGATCCTGGGGCTTGTGTCTGGGCCTTCCCAGGAAAGCAGGGGTAGGTAGGTCACGCAAAGTCAGTCACAGGTCTGCCTGCACAAGCCAAGAAGTCGCTGTCACTCGGCAGGACAGACCTGTGTGGAGCAGCGCTGGAGACTGCAGTCCAGGAAGTTGTACACTGCCGGGAAGCTCCTTTAGGACCCTAGGCTGTCAAAGGTGTTTGCATGAGTTCCTGTCTCAGACCTGCTCAGCTCATGAGGAGTTCCTACACACCGAAACATTTGGAGTTCCGGGGATGGGGGGTGGGAGTGGAACCACCTCTGTACCCTCCTGTAGAGAGGATGGGAAATGCCTGTCACTTTGCCAGTCAGGGGACTTGAGTGACAATGGTGGACACTTGACAGTAGTGAGGATAAAGTGTCAGTTCTGGTTGCCCTCGCCAGAAAACCCCCCAAATATTTCACGACTGGCCCTGAGTAGGGTGAATGCCTGGTTTCTAGGGTGCAGACACCAGTCTCAGCAGCAAACAGCAACAGGCAGGGCTGGCCGGGAAGCACTTCTCAGGCCCTGGGGTGGCTGCGCCCATGGCCACAGGCACTTGGTGCTTGCCTCTCCTTCTCCATGGACCCCGGTCAGCTGTAAACACCCTACCCTGCGAGATGTCTCCCTGGAGACCGGGTGGCTCACAGAACTGGTCTCTTGAGCCGAGAAGCAACTCCTTTCAAAGGAGGGGTAGGCAAGAACCTACTTTTGCGTTTGAGACAGTGTCTTGTTGTATTATTCAGGCTAATTTTAAACTAAGTGTTCAAGGTATCCTCCTGCCTCAGCCTCCAGACTAGCCTGATAATGGGCTCATCAGAGCATCTGCTCAGAGTCCATTTTTGAAAAACTGAACTGTGTGCTGAGAGTCTGAAAGGGACAACGGGAATCCCGCTAACTGTCTGGATAGAGTTGCCATCCGCCATCTACTCGACACATCAAGTCTTCCTGTTCAAAGGGCTCACTGGAGCTGGAGCCCATCCCTGAACAGCCCTTCCCAGTGACTTATCTAAGGCAATTCAGGAGGCAGAGACTCCTAAGGACTCAAACACCTCAGAAGCTGCTGCTGAGCCTGGGTGTGGCCCACATTCCCACCAAGTGACTGGACTGTAGCATCCAGCACAGTCTGGGCCCCAGATTGGCATCCACCTTTTTTCTAGTTACTTCTAGCTTACACAGCAGTCCCACGGAGTCCTCCTAAGTTCCCTTATCCTACCAGATGGCTCCCCATTACTCTACTCCACAGAATCCTTTACCTCCCCAACATCACCAGATAACCAAGCTTTCCCTTCAGATGTGCACTGCTCTCCACGAAGTCCCCATCCCTGACAGTCCCCACTGTCTAATGCCGAGCTGGCATACTTGTGCGCAACCAACCCCCAGGGGTTTGCTGGAGTCCACAGGCCAGCACATCCCACTTCCCGTGGCCTCCTTTCTTCTGTAGTAACTTCCTATTTGACATTTCTACTGCGAATGCTTGTTGTTTGCGTTTCTGATCTGGGTGGGGCATACGCCTCAGAAAGAAAGGCTGAGGTGACACAGGTTACAGGCCTTAGGCAAGAGTAGGCAGCACAGCAGGTATGTAGGACACTACTTTCCACACAGGGAATGTGACCCATGTTTGGTAAGCTGGGCCCCAAGTGCCAGTCCCAGAGCCCCTGGGCCTATCTGGTAGCAGCCAATCCCCTCACCCAGCCACAGGGTCTACCTTGGCCAGCCTGGCCCGCTTGATCAGGTCATTGAGCTTCCTAAGGGCAGCATTTCTGGGTAGAGACTGGATGTCTTTGAAGAGGTCCTGCTCCTCTGCCTCGAAGAGCTTCCGGTTGTCAGGGATAAGCAATGGGTGTGACCAGAAGGAGCCAATGTAGACCCGGACCACCTCGGGGGTGTTGATGATCTTCCCCAGCGACCACATGAGAGCCCCGTACACTCTCATCAGCTGCTGGGTCTCAATCTGGTCCGCCTTGTTCAGCACCACACGGATCTTGTCCTCGTGATTTTTGAGGGCCTTGATAACTTCTGAGAACTCGTCTGAGATGTCCAGCTTGTGGGCGTCAAAGAGTAGGATGATGCGGTCCACGCGCTCAGCAAACCACTCGAGGACAGCCGCAAAGTCATAACCTGAGGGAGGAGAGGACTGAGCATGGCCCCAAGGTCCAGGCTTCCCTAGCCTTTCTGAGCACTCAGGGGGCCTGGAATTTCTAGGACGGAGGTTATTTTGTAAATTCCTAAATTGCTCTGATCTGAACAGCACAGAAGCCCAAAGGCAGACTCATAGATCTCTCTGCCTCAAAGGGTATTTTTTTGCCCATATGACATACACAGATGCTCAGGCAAAGCAGGCCACTAAGCTCATGTGACAGCTCAGCACAGAAACACGCAGAGAAAGACTCGCCAGCTGTGCGCCTTGAACAGCCATGACACCTGCACCTGCCATCTAGCCTGGGTCTAAACACCAGATTCTTGTGCAAGCCACACTTGTTTTTTACAGTGGGGACTGGCAAGCTCAGGTTCCAAACTGGCCCTTCACTTGCTTGTATGAATAAAGTTTTATAGAAACAAAGGCACTCATTTACATGTCTATGCCAACTTTTGTCTGTAATAACTCAGTTCAATTGTTGTAACAGAAACCAAAAGGTCTACATAGCTGACAATACCAACTCCCAACCCTCCCAGAAGGTCTACTGACCTGTTTCCAACAAGCCCTCAAAAGTACCACAGACCACTTCCTTTTTCTGTAGGTCTTAAATGCTTCTCTAAACCAAGTTGCTGACCTGGGCAGACTTGGCCTGTATCTTACTCCATGCTGTTTCCCACCCCAATTAAAGTGACCTGAAGCCGGGCAGTGGTGCTGTACAACTTTAATCCCAGCACTATGGCAGAGGCAGGCAGATCTCTGTGAGCTGGGGGGCGGGGGAGTGACCGAGTCATCTATGACCGAGACATAACTGGAATTCCCCTTAATAACAGCACTATTAGCCAGGCATGGTGGTTAGTGCTGGCAATCCGAGAAGGCAGAAGCAGAAAGAGCAAGGTCACGACCCTTAGCTACAGAACAAATTTAAGGTCAGCCTGGGAGATATGCAACTGTTTCAAACAAAACAAAACAACAAAAAAAGTATGACCTGGGGCCAACAAGATGGTTGAGTGTAAGGCACTGGGCTTGCAAGCCTGCTGATGTGACCCCCTGGGCCCACAGATGGAGGAAGAGCAACAGCTCCGAAAGCTGTCCCTCTGCCTCCACAACTGCACTGTGCCATGTGTTCGTGTACACATAAATAAATAAAATTTAGAAATGAAAAAGAATGACTAAGAAACAGTGCATGAGCCTCCTGTGGTTTCCTTCTGTGGACTGGGATGCAGGTGTAGGGGTTAGGTCTGGGCATCACTGTCTGACCTGGCCCAAGGCTGCCACTCTCCACGTGAACTTAGGCCAGTGGCTTCTGGGCTCAGCATTCCATCCTGCCTGACAACTATGTTCTTTCAAATGTCACTCTGCTGCTCCCGGAAGTGAGGACCCCTCAGCTTTCATGGACACTAAAGCAGAGCTGGGAAGACTGGAAACACCTGAGAGCCTATGGGACAGCCTGACCTCTCCAGTGGACCCTGCACACTCTCCTTGGCCCTGGGTTCAGTCTGCCTAATACCCACAGGTTTTCCAGGTCACCCCAGATGTAGGCCAGCCCTCTAAGAACCACTAAGTATTGCCAAGAGCCTGAAAGATAAGCCAGAGAAGCCCCTCATGACAGAAGAGGACACTGACTGCCTGGCTCGGGCAAGCTCTCTGGGAAACCACTCCAGCAGCCACACCGTGGGAGGTCTGATGTAAGGCCCCCAGATATGTAGAAGGCATGAAGCTGACAGGAGAAGGGCTGTGTTAAGGCACACAACACCCCACCGCCCCATCACAAAGGCCTGTAGACACTGCACCATACAGCTAGGGAGAGAGCATGGGGTGCTCCCTATCCTGTGTGCAAAGCTCCTGGGCTCTGGGGTGATGGCATTTTGGAGGTGCTAGCCTAGACAGGCCAAGCAGAAACAAAGCTCCGCAAAGTCAAATGAACACTCCTGCCACCAGTCCCTTCGGGGCCAGGGAGTCCCTCCCAAAATGGGCTATCCAGAAAGAACACAGGCTTTGAAACTGGCAGCATGTTTGCATAGTATGAGGATGGCTCTGGGTTCAATCCCAGGCAATGCCAGAAAACAACTAACAAAAACTAAGCCAGCCCAATGAGACAGCTTGGCCAATAAAGGCACCTGCCATGGGAGCCTGAAGTCTGAGTTTGACCCCTGGGACTCAGATGACAGTAGAGAGAAACTTCTCTACAAGGTTGTCTTCTGGCCTCCACAAGCCCAGCACACAGGAATTTGGAGCAGACCGGTCAGCAGCTTGGGGCTTCCTCACAGGTGGAGGTACCCTGAGCTGCAGTCTGGGCAGGGGGAAGGGCTTCTCCTGTGGGTGTCTGGTTGGGTGTCAGAGTTTCAGGTTTCTGTGTACAGCAAGTGCCAGGTCACTTCATGTCAGCGGTCAGCTACTAGTACAGACGGTCAGTTCCAAAGTACAAAGCCCAGGGCACCGTTGCTCCCTGCAGCTGGCTCTCAGAGCAGGGAGGGGACACCTAAGGAGTGAACTGTCAGCAGAAAGCCGGAAGGGAAGGTCTAGAGCAGCAGAACAGTGGGGAAGCAGAGGCCAGGAGAGGTGGCTACTGCCCAGGGCTCTCTGGGCTGTACCCCAGCTGACCCCTGGGGCCTGTGTGAGTTCTAGGAACACAGCACAGCGCTGAAGACACGCTGACTCTGGAACTCTGACTCTCCAGTGACAAAGTCAGGCCTCTGCTCCTTCCTTCCCACTCACTCACTCAGCCTCATCCAAAATTGAAGCTAATTCACACAGTTGGGACAGCAGCGAGGCCAAATCCCAGTTCCTGGGAACAGGGGCACTATTGGCTTTGGCAAGGCGGCCAGAACCACAGCAGGGATGCTGAGGTCACCTTCCCAAGCCCTACCCAGTATGGTCTCAATCCCTTTCCCTCTCGGAGGGGAAAGGGAACCTAGAAATGGGAGAAATGGAGGAGCCTCTTTGCCTGCTCCTCTTGCTTGGCCATCACTTCAAGTTGGTTGTGTTTTTGGCTTTTTTTCTTCATTTTCTAGGAGGACAGGGTCTCACTATGTAGCCCTGATTGGCCTGGAACTCACTATAAGACCAGGCTAGCCTTCAAATTCAGAGATCCACCTGCCTCTGTCTCTCAAGTACAGGAATTAAGGGCATGAGTCACCATGTCCAGTGCCATTTAAGTCTTTTTCTTTTCTTCTTTTTTTCCAGGTAAAGGGAATTTTTCATTTATTTAATTATTTCTGGAGTTTTAAAACAGAATGTCCTCAAACTAGTAACAATTCTCCTGTCTCAACCCCCTGAGGGTTATGATCATAGGTAAGAGCTACCATGCTTGATTTCCTGTTCACTGTGGAAAAACCACTTCTGGTGGGAGGAGACACTACGGCTGAGCAAACCTAAAGGGCAGCAGTCACATATCACAGGCAGGTGACTATGCTAGTGCAGGCCACCTGCAGGCTGCTCTGGCATTCTCGAACCCTTAGAGAGGAGACACCAGTTTCCAGGGGTACTGGAGACACCAGTGCAGTGTCAGTGTGAGTTTTTATAACCAACAGTGCCCAGGCCTCACAGCACACTGCCTGGCATGGAGCTCAGGCAGGTGACAAGGGCTGGCAAAGCAATAGGCCTCAGACTCTTTTGATATACCAGGTAGGGTTGCATGTCCCGCCACACACACAGCAGCAAGCCCACAGCATAAAGGGCGCTGTATGCCACTAAGAGAAAAGAAGATCCTACAGGAATTGGGTGGTGGTGGAGCACACCTTTAATCCCAACACTCAAGGAGGCAGAGGCAGGCGGATCTCTGTGAGTTCCAGGACAGCCAAAGATATACAGAGAAACCCTATTTCGAAAAGCCAAATTAATTTTTAAAAAATGCCTTACAGGGAGGGATACACTGCATTGGCTGGCTAGAGAGAGTGGACATAGTTTCCACCAGAGACACAGAGCCACAGTCAGAGAGAATGAGCTAGACAGATAAGCAGAGGGACGAGCTTCAGTGGAAACCAGAGCCACCTCAGATAAGGGACAAGTAGCCATGTCAATAAATGAAATAAACCAGCCTAAGAGGACAAGCCCCAACAACCATGGACCCCTCAGAGAGGACGGTGGAACCTGTGCTGGGATGGAGGGCAGTTCTAAGGTAGACAGCAATGTGAAGAACCAAACCCACTCAACTGTACCCTGAGAATGTATAAAACAGTACACCTTACATATAGTAGGGACATTTACGAGAGTCAAAAAATAAAGGAAATTGCCCGGCAGTAGTGGTGGCAGCGCAAACCTATAGTCCCAGCACTGGGAGGCAGAGGCAGGTGGATCTCCAGGACTTCAAGGCCAACCTGGTCTACAAAATGAGTTTCAGGACGCACTCCAAAGAGAAACCCTATCTCGAAAAACCAAAAGATAAAAATAAAGAAAATTCAGGTGTGATAAATGCATGCCTATAATCCCAGCACTTGGAAGGTAGAAGCAGGAGAATTAGACATTCAAGGTCATCCTTGGAAAAATATGATATATCCCAGGCTATGTGATAGTCTTTTTGTTTTTTTTGTTTTGTTTTGTTTTGTTTTTTTAAGACAGGGTCTTACTATGTAGTCACCCTAGAATTCATAATGTAGACCAGAGTGGTCTCGAGATCCTCCTGCCTCTGCCTCCTGAGTGTTGGATTAAGGGCCTGGGCACCACACCTGGCTGACATTCTTCCTTCAAAAACAAAAACAAGGGCTGGAGAGATGGTTCAATGGTTAAGAACACTGACTGTTCTTCCAGAGGACCCGGGTTCAAGTCCCAGCATTCACATGGCAGCTAACAACTGACTATAACTCCAGTTCCAGGAGATCTGACGCCCTCACACAGACATACATGCAGGCAAAAAAAAACAAACACAAGATAAGACAGGCATGGTGGTCCACATTATACAATCCTAGCACTCAAGAGGCTGAGTAGGAACATGGCAAGTTTGATGCCATCTAGGGGTGTCTCAAAAAATTAAGACCCAGGGGGG